TTTTTTTTTTTTTTTTTTTTTTTTTTTTTTTTGTCAATTAAAAAACAATAACTCATCTACAGTATATAAGCCAACTAGATATTTGGTTAGTGACATGTTTAAATACACATAATTCATAACCATGCTGTTAAAGGTGTTGTCAAGGGGTTGTCATTTGCTCACCCTCATGTGATTCCGAACCTATGTGGATTTTTCTTCTGAATAACATACAAGATATTTTGAAGAATGTTTTGACTGTTTTTGTACACATACACAGTGACAATTTCTGTATTTGATGATGACATCATCACAAGGTCTACTGTGTCCTGTCTTGCCAGCATTTTTCAAAATATATGTTATAGTATGTTTCACACAGAGCCGTTGAGAGAGAGAGAGAGAGTTGCAACACAGTCACATGGTTCATGGAGCTCTCAAACAACTCCGCGCTCTCAGTCTGTTTGAATGGGTTTAATCAGGACATACAGCAGTTTCACTATATTAGCTGCAATTTCTAGTAGTTATGAACACATAATGTGCTTTGATAACTACGCTGACTACGCTTTACAATAGCATTTTATTCTGGGGAGTGATAAAGAGAGCATTAATATGTTCTCATACTCTTTGGCAGTCAAATGTGACCAAACACCTTAAGTGTAACTTTTAATCAATTAAATAAATGTGCTATATTTTAGTTTAGTTCTATTTAGTTAATATTTTGAGAAGATTTTTGGTACTAAATAATATGTGCAATAATTATGATCCATGAATGACCATTTAAAATATAACATTTTCTAATATGCTTATTATTTATATTACAATTAGTGTAGTATTTAGGGTTAAAATAGAGAAAATGTTTTTAAATTCCAGAATAATGTACAGTATTTGAAAAATAATGTGCTTTTTGAACATTAAAGCATGTCAACATATTCTGTTACACCAAATACACAAAATAATGATATTTAAAAAAGCATGATATGACCCCTTTAAGAGAGAGTAAACAGCTGAAAAAGAAAATGCATATGTAACGGTGTATTGGATCCGGACTTCGGTCTTAAAGGGGAAGCTGTCCAATATTCGTCCTGTCTGCCATTCATATTAATCAAACAACAGTGAGAGAGAATGACTATGCTTTACAGTAGCATTTTATTCTGAAGAGCAATAAAGAGACCATTAATATGTTCTCATACTTCTTGGCAGTCAAATGTGACCAAACACCTTAAGTGTAACTTTTAATCAATTAAATAAATGTGCTATATTTTAGTTTAGTTCTATTTAGTTAATATTTTGAGAAGATTTTTGGTACTAAATAATATGTGCAATAATTATGATCCATGAATGACCATTTAAAATATAACATTTTCTAATATGCTTATTATTTATATTACAATTAGTGTATTATTTAGGGTTAAAATTGAGAAAATGTTTTTAAATTCCAGTGCAAAGAAGGAAATTAGAGGCATTTGGTGGCCAGAAAAATAATATTCATATGCAATGCCATGGTTTAACCACTAGATGCCTGTATGGCTGTTTAATAAATATAGCCTAAATGTATATGGCTCTAGTTGCTATAAAGAGTATTGCTGGTCTTAATTGCTTACTTATTTTTTTTAGGTTTTGCATTTGAATGTATATTTAGACGTTATCAAACATTCGATTTTTATGTTTCGATTTTTCTAAATGTTACATTTAAAAAGGTTAGTGATTCACATCCCAGTGTTATTTTGTGATATTCACATAAGCATACAACATAAGTGAATATTACAAAAGGCAAGCAAATATGGAATTTATCTCCAAATAAAGTTTAAAAAAAGCACAAGGCAACCAATTGCATTCAGCAAAACTCTTTATTGTATTCCTTGAATGAGCAATCTTCATTGAAACTCATTCAACTTCCTACGGGGAGAGAAAGATTGCAGAAAGACTAAAAACTTAAAAATATAACAACTAGCATCTGGTTATAATCTGGTAATTAAGGTGTTTCTCACATTATCTAAATGCAGTTATATAGTATAACTCTCTTTTATCTAACGATAAACATTAACTATAACGCGCTTCATAAAATACCACTACTGGACAGATTTCAGAGAGATCAACTAATGTTAATGTTAAAATGTCAAAAAATGCAGTCATTTCTTCAATTTACCAGCAAGAGTGTCCTTGAGAAACTCTGAAATGAATGGGGTTCAATGCTGGAACTATTGGCTGCTCCATGACACGCTTCACTTCAGCATTCCTCAGTTCCTATGGATCAGAATCAGAATCAGAAGGAGCTTTATTACCAAGTATGTTTACACACACAAGGAATTTGACTTGGAGACAAGAGCTTCCAGTGCAGAAGAAAGTACACACACAGTGCAAACATACATGATAGTGCAGACATACATAGAATTACACAGTAAAGATGAATTAACACTAATATCAGAAAAACTGAAAAATAAATATTGCACTATATATAGAAATAGACATAGGACGCCTATGGGAGTGTCGCAACTCTGTTTCTCAATGGCTCTGGTTCCACAGAAGAAATTAATACAGTTTTGAAACAACATAAGAGTGAATAATTGATGACAAAATGTATTTTTCTTTTTTTTGGTAAACTGTCTCTAATTTCAGTACAAAAAAGTATTACGGTTTCTGTAAAAGCCTCACAACTGCTGAAAATTCAGCTTTGCATCACAGGAGTAAATTACATTTTAACATAGATTAAAATACAAAACAGTTATTTTAAATTGTAATAATATTTCACACTTTTACTGTTTTAGCTGTATTTTTTGAAGGCCCAAAACTCTCTTACACCTATCCTGGTACGTCAGACCACCCTTATGGTTGATCCTGTTAGTGAATACGATAGACAGAGAGAGATGAGGGTTATTTCGGAAATTGATGTAAACAGACAGTCATGCTGTTTGCTCATTAGTTTTGTTTGTCTAACAGAGACTTGACCTGTTCAAAGTGTTTGTGTGAGTAGAAACAGTGCTAACAAGATGAAGTGTCAATTTAGTCATGTGTGACTGGATTTAATTAGCAGCTCAAGTAGGGGCCTATCTAGAGACCCCTTATCTGTGTGTGTTCAGGCCACGCTGTCTAAGTTAGACTCAGTCTTCACAAGTTCTTGTCCATGTCCTGCCAGTGTTTGTACATGCGTGTTCACAAATATTCATGAGTTTGTGCCTGTACATGCATATTCATTAACAATCAGCCTTTGATTGGCAGGTTCCTTTTTCGCAGCGGAAACCAGGAGCACCCAGGAGACAAAATAGAGAACACTACTGTCGAGATCCTGCCCTTTTCGGTAAATGAAAAAACACATTCTCAATTAGATTTATACGGTTTCCTCTAAATGTCCAAACAAGCCCCAGGGTGACAGGTTTGTCAGAGTCTAACTGCAGGTTGACAGGAATATCTGGCGTAGGTCTCCTGTGTACACTGCCACCAGGGCTAATTTTAGTCAATCGCAGGTTGAGCTACCGTGGTAATGAGGCTGCGTACTGCCATCCTGCTGTGATACAGAGCTTAAAAAGGCTTCGAATGGGCTTTGATGTTTGTTCTTGCAGACGTTCCTTGAATAAATGAGGCTGGTAATGCATCTGAGTTTGTGTAAATGGGTTTGTGAGCTTGGGTTTACTTATTATTTTACCATTGAATACAAACTTTACTCCTACAATTGTGTCTAACATTGATAGCATAGTGCAAGTACCTTTAAGACAGGCTCTTGAAGTGCTTCTAAATGAGGATGTTATCTCTTGCAGGACGCTGAATCGAAGACCAAAGAGAAGTACAAACGAACAGAAGATCGGTTCTATAAGCTTGGTGAGTTATTACATTCATGGTCAAATCAGCAGTTTTGCACTTGAAGCAAATGATTGTTGTGCCTTCCTTGCAAATAGAAGAAACCAGTGCACTGTAACTCTTTATAACAGTGATGGCACTTATTTAGCAAATGCTCAGCACATTTCTCTTTCTGCCTGAGAAAGTATTTCATTAAAAAAAATTAAAAATTAAAAATTTAGGCCCTGTGTTGTATATATACTTGTATATATTTTATTATAAAAACATGATTGACAGTAAGTTTTTTTTGTTTCTTATGCTTAGCACATTTATTTGATTAAAAAACAATAATAATGTGAAATATTATGACAATTTAAAATAACTGTTTTCTATTTTAGTATATTTTAATATATTTTTCCTTTAGAAATGATTCTAATATGCTGATTTGTTGCTCTTATGTTAAATTATAAATGACTTTACTGTTAATTTTGATCAATTTAATGCATCTTTGTTGAATAAAAGTGTTTTGTACGGTGGCCGAGAAGTGCAAAGCAGATCACAATTCTGAAAACAAAATAACAAATTACAAACGCAAATGCAAGTCTAAAAAACAAAACAATTCAGAAAGCACAACAACAATTCAGAAAACATTATAACAAGTCAGAAAACACAATGACAAATTCGAAAACAAAATAACAAGTCAGAAAACACAACGACAAATCAGACAAACCGGAAAAGGTAGGTATAGTTTGAGACAGCGCCATTGGTTTGGGATTACTCACCGCTGACTGGACGAGACATCTGTCAATCAACGTATACAGGTGACCTATAGAGTTTTAGCCGGCAACGGCGAATGGCGCGGTGGATTGTGTTCACCGACAATGTTTTCTGGAAGTATTCCTGAGCTCATGTTGTGATTTCCATTACAGTAGCATTCCTGTATGTGATGCAGTGCCGTTTAAGGGCCTGAAGATCACGGGCATCCAGTATGGTTTTCCGGCCTTGACCCTTACGCACAGAGATTGTTCCAGATTGAATCTTTGGATGATATTATGCACTGTAGATGATGATAACTTCAAACTCTTTGCCATTTTTCTCTGAGAAACTCCTTTCTGATAATGCTCCACTATTTTTCGCCGCAGCATTGGGGGAATTGGTGATCCTCTGCCCATCTTGACTTCTGAGAGACACTGCCACTCTGAGAGGCTCTTTTTATACCCAGTCATGTTGCCAATTGACCTAATAAGTTGCAAATTGGTCCTCCAGCTGTTCCTTATATGTACATTTAACTTTTCCGGCCTCTTATTGCTACCTGTCCCAACTTTTTTGGAATGTGTAGCTCTCATGAAATCCAAAATGAGCCAATATTTGGCATGACATTTCAAAATGTCTCACTTTCAACATTTGATATGTTATCTATATTCTATTGTGAATAAAATATAAGTTTATGAGATTTGTAAATTATTCCATTCCTTTTTTACTCACAATTTGTACAGTGTCCCAACTTTTTTGGAATCGGGTTTGTATATATATATATATATATATATATATATATATATATGTATGTATGTATGTATGTATGTAATGCACAGACCGTATACACCATTACAATCTTGATGAAACTGTAAAGACACACATCTTCCGTCAAGTAAACCACAATCAACATCTCTCTCATTCTTTTTTTTTTTCCACTGCATTTTTTTTTCCTGTATTGCTCTCTAGCTTACTCTCAAAACACAACATAGTTGTTTTTTGCGAGTATTGTTCTCTTATGATGAATTGCTTCTGAGTTTCTTTATTTGTAAGTCCCTTTGGATAAAAGTGTCTGCCATATAACTGAATGCAAAATTCAGTTTGTGGGAAGTGGGAAGTGGGAAGTCGTGGCCTAATGGTTAGAGAGTCGGACTCATAACCCAAAGGTTGTGGGTTCGAGTCTCGTACCGGCAGGGATTGTAGGTGGGGGGAGTGAATGTACAGCGCTCTCTCCCACCTTCAATACCATGACTGAGGTGCCCTTGAGCAAGTCACCGAACCCCCAACTGCTCCCCGGGCGCCGCAGCATAAATGGCTGCCCACTGCTCTGGGTGTGTGTTCACGGTGTGTGTGTGTTCACTGCTGTGTGTGTGCACTTTGGATGGGTAAATGCAGAGCACTAATTCTGAGTATGGGTTACCATACTTGGCCACATGTCACGTCACAAAATGTTACAATCACTTCTGGTCTCCCCTTTTAGAATTAAAAATATTATTTCTTTTCTTTGTGTCTGTCTTTAGCTCAGTTTGAGAAAGGAGTGGCAGAGGGGACGGTTGACCCTGCCTTCAACCCTGTGGTGGCTGTTCGTCTAAAGGTCCAGAAGGACTCCGCCGTGTGGGCCATTATTAGCGAGGTCTGCTTGCTGCCTTTGGTTCAGGCCTGTCTAGGGCTGGACAGTATCATAGTATATGGAAGAAGAGATTTTGCTATGCTGTTACTGTTGTAGTTTGCATTTATTATATTAGTCATTAGTTTTGTTTGCTGCATATGGGATGCTCTTTTTGCACTGATGCCAGACTTATTTATTTATTAATAATCTTATCTTAGGAAATGCATCAGGAAAGAAATTTTGTAATAAATAAAAGAAATACCTTTAATAAGTATCTTTAATAAATTTAGATTAATTAAATGTCTTTAATATGGAAATACCTTTAATTTGTAAATTATTTAATTATAGAGTTATTCATAAATGGTCAATACCATGTGATTATTTGATACATAAACCATTTTTTTCCCCCATTGAATTTCCAGCACAAACAACTATATTGTTATATACACCACTCCTGAGATACGAAATGACTCATTTGTGACCCTGGAGCACAAAACCAGTCTTAAGTTGCTGGGGTATATTTGTAGCAATAGCCAAAAATACATTGTATGGGTCAAAATTATTGATTTTTATTTTATGCCAAAAATCATTAGTAAATCATTAAGTAAAGATCATGTTCCATGAAGATATTTTGTAAATTTCTTACTGTAAATATATCAAAACTTAATTTTTGATTAGTAATATGCATTGCTAAGAACTTCTTTTGGCCAACTTTAAAGGTGATTTTCCCAATAGTTAGATTTTTTTGCACCCTCAGATTCCAGATTTTCAAATAGTTGTATCTCGGCCAAATATTGTCCTATCCTAACAAGCTTATTTATTCAGCTTTCAGATGATGTATAAATCTCAATTTCGAAAAATTGACCCTTATGACTGGTTTTGTGGTCCAGGTTCACATTTGAGTTTTGTTTATACTGTCCAACCCTAGACCAATCACATGCTCTCTCCCTCTTCACTCATGTACTGTGAATCATTTGGATCATATCTACAGTTACTGAATATCTTATAAACCTGACACTGTACTTAATGCATTCAAAACTGCCAACAATGTTTTCATTCCAGTGGAACGTCAGCTTATAAAAGATCATATTTTTCAGTTGAAACATGTTATCATGTTATTACAATGTTACGTGTTATTACATAAATGACTACAATTGAAAATGTGGAAATTTAGGAGTGTTTTGACAAAGCATCAAGCCATATATCATACCCCTTCTGTGTTTTGCATTGTTTGTCATAACCAGCCATAACAGTCAACACTGTCTGGCACATGAGGATATTTTGATGTGGACATCTCATATGTCCAAAATCAGAACGCAGTTGACTGGACAATAAAAGTGTTGCTTGAAACTTGACGTATTGTAATTAACATATTCTGTTGTTGTTGTTTTTTTTGGTGATGTGCATAGATGATCTTCATATACCTGGTTCTTGACAGATGTTTTTTGGTGTTTGTTGTCAGATCCATATCAAGAGGATACCTGGGTAACTACCTGAATGTCTCCAGTGCTTGAGGCCCTCTGGTCACCTAGACAGGGACGTGCTGCTCGCATCTCCAGCGGATTGAGTGACCCTCACATTATCAGAGTGCGTGGAGGAACCCTAGTTTTATGTTCTTCACCTCTTAAACTTGACTTTTTCCTCTTTTTTTCTTCTTCCTCTGGTAGTTTTGACATTCTCTCTTCTCTTCTACTTGCCTTGGCCTCTGTCGTCAGACTTCGTTTGACCTTTAACTTTCCCCTGAATTATGTTGTGTGAATGTGACTACTACTGTACAGAAAAAAACAAACAAACACTTTTTGACAGAATGTTTCCAGACACTAAATTTGTGTCGTGAAGAATTGCAATCATCGCTGTCATTAAGGTTTGAAGTTCAGGATTCAAAGCTGCACCAATGCTGGATAATAAGTTAATATGCCCTACTGATGAAGAATATCCTCAGCGCTCTGCCGTCATGGATTGTAACTGACCATAAACTTTGGGTCAGATAAACACGGCTGGATTTCAGCTTAGAGATGAACGAGTGGGGTGAAAGAAATGTTTAGGTTTTAGGCCGTTGGTGCCAGTTTATTATTTTATTGACTGCTTTGCCAAAATCTAAAAACAAACAGCATATGTTTTCTGGTCAACAGAAGTGGCTTTTCTTCCTCTGTGTTGGTTTAGTGTCAACGAATCAATCATGGCTTTCAATCGGAAAGTTTTTAATTGCTGTTACTATTATTATGACGATCTATGAAGGTGAATTAATTTATTTGAAATAAATCTAATTTGTACAAAAGGTAAATGCTTTCATTTTATATTCTTTGGAAATGTATGATGTGGCAGAGAATTTATTGTGGCTTAAAGTCGAGTGATGGTTGATGTTTGTATCTTTGTGTAGTTGAGAAGGGTGCAGGGCCGCCCACCTCTGTGCCTTAACATCCAGCGTCCCAGTAGAGGGCCTGGTAAAGGACTGCCTTGTGCCCCGTGTCAATACGCTTAAGTCATACAATAGGACAGTTTGTTAGATGCTTGATTTAAGTGAGACGTTCAAGTTTAGAGCATGGCATGTCCGTGCTTACGTTTCAGAATCTTTCATGTCTTCATTTGTTCATTGAGCATTTTCCATCTCAAATAGTCCGCTTTCATCATGTCTGTCAGAAAAGTTCTCATTTCTATGCTGTATTCATAAGATACTTATCTGAATGTTCAGTAAGTCGTGATGAAGTCCAGATGGAATCTGCTGATTTTTTTTCTGCACCGAATGAATTTAAATGTGGTGAAATGTGATTAAGGAAGCTGAGGGTACTTGCGTATCTGAAAGCACAATCTACAGAGACCCTAAATGGACATGGTGATGGGGAAATAAAATAAATGAAAAATTATATTTCAGTGCTTTGCTTCTCTCACAAAATGTTCGCATTCCACCAACAAACTTTGTGTTCTCAGAAATGTTTGCATCTCCTGACAAACTTTGTGTTCGCTCGCAAAACTTTTGTGATGGAAATGTAAGGTAGGACCAAGAACTATATTTCAATACTTTGCGAGAGAATGCAAAAGTTTTGCTAGATAATGAAAAAGTTTTGTGAGCGAATTAATTTTTTGGGGGGTAAAACGCAGTAATTTTTGCAAATTAATGTAAAAGTTTTGTGAGCAAATGTAAAATTTTAGCAATTTTACAAGCAAACTTAAAAAGCATTGAAATATTTCTTTTTTTTCATCGCCTTGTCCACTTGACTCTGCAACAATCAAATAAGCCACAATATGTAAAACCACGCAGAACTTCATGAATGACGGCCGTTTAAAGCTTTCTGGGGAGCTCTGCAGGTGCAGATTCTGTGTGGACCTGGTCAGGAGCAAAATATTTCCAGAACCATAGATTTATAATGGAAATGGAATCGAACTGCTAAATTTACAGCTATTTTCAGAAGTGTTAAGTGTGCTGGTTTTGACACCTGGATTTATTACACTACATTTTGTGGTAAGGTTCAAGAGAGTGGAAGGAAGAAGGCAGGGTCGGCTTGCTGGGACGCGAGCTTTATTTAAATCTCTCAGTGCACACAACACAATACGGCGCTCACACAGCGCTTCCAGACTCGCAGTCAATAACTCATAACAATCATAACACAACTTGCTTCCGTGTTTCTCTACACCCGTCTCCCCGGGTGGCTCGCGTTCCCAGTCAGTCTCTCTCCCGATCATGTGCCATGTGGCCCCTTTTATCCGGTCTCTCCACACCAATTACTGAAACGAGACACAGGTGTTTATCATTTGCGCTTGACCTACTTACGCACCGCTTGTCTCCTGCCTCTCTCTCCCGATGCAGACCTCGCTGAACCACGCCCCCCCTCGCCACACATTTATTATATTGTAAAGCTACGGTTCTTATTTATTTTGCTTGTAGCTCCTGACGTAGGGACTTGATGGTGAGGTAACTGCTGTACAGATTTCCAAAGTGCTCTCATCTCATGTGATTGTATATATCTTTAATATGGAAGTTTTAGTTCAGTCTGACATAGTGTCATTGTATAATCCTTGATGCTTCAAGTTTCAGAGCATATCCTTTATACATACATACACCTTCATTTTAGTGACTACTTGGAGCTGGATGTGAATCGCAGTACTTGAGCAGTGTGTGTTTTTTTTTAATAGAAAGCCAATGTAATGTCATAACCATTTGTTTACAGTTTGTTTATGATCTCTCCTTGGTTGGAGTGTAGAGCACTGTATCATCATTCTCCTTTACATCATGTGACGTGACTTCTGGGGAATGGACTAGTGAAACCACAATGGAGTGGTTTTCAGTGTTTTGCCGAACTGCTGCCTTTTTAGTCAGATTTGTGCTCAATGATCTGTTTCCACACCTGTTTTAGCACTGAAAGATGGATTGTTATCCATTGCCCTCTCATTAAACTCTCATGGGCCGGTCTCATCAGCGCATGTCCATTTTGAAATCCACCCTTCGGTCTTATGTTGAGATGAATCAGACATGAAATGTGCTCCTCTTGTGTGGTGCATTCTTGACTTTCATGTGCCTTCATCTGTCTTTCTCCAGCTCTGACATTGATTTGAATAAACTGTTCCAAAATAAACCATTTAATCGCTTTCACAATGAACAGATTCTGAGCAATCTGAATAAATGCATTTTGAAATGATTATTTAAATAAAATCAAATAAAATGAATACAAATAAAATCAACTATGCCGATTTTTTTTTTTTTTTTTTTTTTTTTTTGTTGAGTGCAGATATCTCACCTTTTTTATTTTTATTTTTTAATGTATATCTGACAAGTATGCATCACATTAAGTTTATTAATCTGTTTGTTAAAACTTTGTAATCCAAATGGATAGAGATCTTATATGCCATTCAAATACATAAATCTTAAATTTAGGCCTAAATATTTTTTAGTGTACAGTTGTATTATATTAAATCTGGAATGGAAATATCAAACCAATTTACAAACAAAATGCTAGCCATTTTTACAGTGATACAACTGGACTAACAATATGTTCCAAGTTATTCAAACTCTTGTCTTACAGTAGGCCTACAGTACATATATTTTTAAACATTTTCCCTGAAAATGCTGTGTTTCTTTAAAATAACTGACACAATTTGTCAAATGCATTGATATCGATAGATTTTAAGTGTTGCTCAAGTCTCTAGGTGCCAATGTAAATGTGATAATATACGACAAAAGCATTGTTTTAGTGCCATCTTCTGGTCAATTTAAATGCTTCACACTGCTAGGCTATATGACAGTCAAATACAGTACTTAATGCCATAAATGATTGAAATCGATGCGTAATTGTTTACAGTATAAAATGGCGTCATTTAACACTATTTTCAATAAAATCTTTGCAGCAATGCTGAAGTTTGTAAGCGCGAGCAAATGGAACATTTGCGAACTACTATTCCCACAATGCACCTCTGTTCCACTCCCTTATATACGTCATACGTAACATGGCCGCTTTCATTCAAATTTCACATTTGACTTATCTGTAGGCTAGCTGTTGTGTTCTATTTGCCTCATCCCATATTTCGCTTAAACCTGCTCGGATGAAAGCTCTACAGAATGCCCAAATATTACGAGGATAAAGAGGACGATGGCCGCGCCTGCGCTGGATTAAGAGAAGATTTCAAAGCCTGTCTCCTTCAGCATGACTGTGTAGCGAAGGTAATATCATGTATTGCCTTCAGCCTGACATATCTATCATGCCTCTCACGATAACTTTGATTGATTGATTGATTGATTGATTGTTGTTGTAATTTTTTTGTTAATAACAGTGCGTGAATTTAACCAGAGCATATTTCTGATGTCTGGTGTGCACTTAACTACAAAAGCTAACGTTACTGCATAATAGAAATAAGCCGTTTGATCCATATGCCTTAAAAACTCATTGGCAGAACGTGAACGGAAGTTATGTTTCCCCCCAGCTGTCTAAATTATGATGGTCTCTGTTTGTGTCACAGGAGGGTAAGAAGCCCAGTGAGTGCCTGAAGGAAGGACATTGCAAAGGCTTGCATGTGGCTTTCTTTGAGTGCAAGAGATCCATGGTCAGTACATCTGCTGTTTAAATTATGCACAATTTTCTTGTTTGAACTCCTTAAAAAAAAATCGATTTGATTCCGATTAATGTACAGTTCAGACAAGGAAAATAACCTCTCAGCTAAATGAGGTAAACTATACAGGGAACCCTTTCAGTTAATATTAAAGACGTAAATTTAAAGAGTCCAAATTCATATATATATATAATGATAGATATAATGGTCAATAATGAGTTGTATACAAACATTTAAAATATTATCAACTTAACATAGTATATTTGTTTCTCTCATTCAGTGTTAAAATATACAAATTTGAACAGTGACTGTCATAAATCTTAAACTATGATTTTTACAAATTATTTCAGCTCATTTTTATTTGAAGTAACATTTTCTTTATTATTATTATTATGGTTTTAGGTGTTTTTTATGGTTACTTTGGACCTGTGTGCCACTGCCTTCAGTGCAATTTAGTCTAATTTTATTTCATTTTTTATAGCTGTTTCAAACCAACTAAAATACAGCTAAGTGCACATGTTAACAAGTCCGAGTGATAATGTCAGAATGTCTTTACTGTATAATAAAAGCCCTTTCCTTCTCCTTTTATTATAGCTGGACACCCGATCTCGATTCCGAGGCAGAAAGGGATACTGAATAACGCCTTCAATGTGAATAACATGTTTTGTATCAAGATGCCAAGACATGCTCTCAAATGTGTAAATATTATGCTTTTTAAGCAAATTTGTCTTGTGAGTTGTCATTGACTCATGATGCTTATTTGGGAGCATGATGAACTGCATCAACACCAGAAATCATCAAATAAAACGGATTTCCAGTTCTGAACGATCGCTTATATAATCACTGGATCCACAAAAGAGAACAATATTCAAAACATTAGTAGTTTATTTAACAAAATGTCATTTATATCTCATTCAACAGGTGACTAGCATTTCTGTATGAATGATTTTATGATTTTGATAAAAAAAGTGAATCTGATTAAGTAGCCAGTAGCAAACAATTTTCCACAAAGATGTTCATAAAAATGTGCTATGTTATGCCTGCTAATGATCATTTATTTCAAAGCATTCATCATGAGCACTTTAAACCTCTCCAAGTCCACTTTCTTCAAGATGTGGGCTTTGTGAGTCTTCTTCAGGGTATCGAGGTGATCGACAACCATCATTCCCCGCCAGCTCTACAGTGACGGCTTTGTGTTCAGTTTCAATGACATATGTGTGGTCTATGACTGCTGCCGTGGCATAAGAGTCACAGGAGATGAATCCCTGGCCATCCACCAGCTCCTTCTCAATCCTCTCCATGCAGGAGGACTCCATACTGTGCTCTGCTTCATATACCGAGCCTTATCTGTGTCCTGAGCCAGCCAACCGTCACAGAACTCCTGAAACAAACATGTGCAAATATAATGTGTATATATGTGACCCTGGACCACAAAACCAGTCATAAGGGCCAATTTTTCGAAATTGAGATTTATACATCATTTGAAAGCTGAATAAATAAGCTTTCCATTGATGTATTTGTTAGCATAGGACAATATTTGGCTCTCATTCATGACTCGTGTGATAACTTTATGAGACAAAAGCTTATTCAGGGGCATTTTTTCCCCTATATCTAGAATTGTAAGGGCCGTCCTTGCCATCTTTGTGCTCTTGCAAACTGGATGCTCTGACTTGCCATAGAGTCCACATAGCCATAAGAGGTGTGTCCATGTAGATGAGCAAATAAATCTGCATCCTAAGTGGCGTGTGGTGTTAACTTAAAGGGATAGTTCACCCAAAAATGAAAATTTGATGTTTATCTGCTTACCCCCAGGGCATCCAAGATGTAGGTGACTTTGTTTCTTCAGTAGAACACATATGATGATTTTTAACTTTAACCGTTGCAGTCTATCAGTCGTATAATGCATGGCAATGGTAACAAAATCTATGAGAGAAAAAAACATGCACAGACAAATCCAAATTAAACCCAGTGGCTCGTGACGACACATTGAAGTCCTAAGACACGAAACGATCTATCCACAAGCAAAAGTGGCTTAAATCTCCTTTGTTTTATTCTTTTTCTTGTTGAATTTAACTCTCGTTTCATCCCTCAGGCTTCTAAAAAAAAGCATCATGATGAATTATTCAAAGATATTTAACCCACTGCGCTTTTTTTCTGTGTATATTCTCATACTATGATGAACACATGAATTTGTTTAAACCGTTTTATCAGAATCAGAATAGCTTTATTACCAAGTATGTTTACACACACAAGGAATTTGACGTGACGACAGGAGCTTCCAGTGTAGAAGAAAGTACAAACATTTGCAGACATGCATAGGAATAACACAGTAGGGGTGTAATATAACACTAATATAATATATGCCATTATGATTGTTCATTGTTAGATACAACCATCTTTCCCTGATCTTTTATGTAATTATAAGTTCGGCAATAATAATAATAAAAAAGAGGGACAGGTGCACTAACACCTCATAGCATCACTAACTCAACAATCTAGTACTGTTTTCCTCAGCGTTTGCAATATCTGCACAAAGGATATGTCGGGCAGCTGCTCGAAGATCTCGCCTTTGGAGAAGACTGTTGATTTTATACTCTAAAAATGTAAGTATTACTACTTAAACATTAAGATTACCCCAGAATGAATTGCATCGTTTGCCCACCCCAACACTTACATGCAATAATAATGATAAATGCTAACCAATAATTACTTTTTTTTTTTTTACTTAAAATGAACAAAATATATATTTTTTTGTCGTGACATAGCTATACATAAATATACACTAGTTGAACAAATGCAGTCGATGTGAATACATCAATTTTCAGTCAAGCAATTAATACATGAATTAATAAAATATTAATATTTTATTTACTGACAACAAAAACATGAATAAATGAGTAAAGGAATGAATAAAAGCAAGCATCACAATAAATACATACATATACAAGTCAACAACAGATGAAACAAAGCTTCATTCAAACTTATTGTTCTAACAATCATGTATTTACAGATGGTGAACCCCACATCCTACTCCATCTCAACACAGCTGAGACCGTTCTGCTGCTGCGCTGTGCTTCACAATCTCGCTCTTCTCAATGGGGACATCGTTGAGCAAGAGGATGAGGAAGACCATGATGACGGCTCTCTGAACCACACAACCTAGAAGCAAGAGCAGGGGAACACATGTGGGACAATCTGGCTGCCACTGTGTCTGCTCCAAACATTTGTGTGCTGCTTTCCATGAGCACGACTACCTGTAAAACATTTAAACGGAGTTAAACATTTTACAGTTCATGTTGTCAGCTTTCCATTTCTTGCCAAATTTCATGTTTACAATTACATGCATTTTTTTGTTGTAGCTTTATTACTTTTGTAGTGGGCTAAACCACTGAACTGGTGAGCAGAAGGTTTCTGGTTCAAAACCACCAGTATGTCCCTGAGCAATCCAGGTCGTTCCAGGGGATTGTAGGTCCCTGTAATAAGAGCACTGTAAATCACTTTGGATAAAAGCTTCATGACATTTTTTGATGATGCTTTTGAAGCTTCTGAAAGTCAGCCTTCATTGTATGAACAGAAACCAGCAGAACAAACTTGACCAAACTCATCACTGAGGATGAAGAGACCACAGCAACATCTGGTCCTGATGAGACAGTAAGAGGTGGAGTGATGGAGCGTCTCATCCGCGGCACTGGACCATTTCCAGGATGCTGCTGTGGACTTCTCCATCCTCACTACTCACACCAGTCTGCAGACATTTCAGATCCTGCAAAGATGCACAAACACAATACAAAAGCAGTCATTTTAACAGCATAATGTCATCTGATTTCTGTATTGGAAGTAACAAAATTATCTTATTTATATTTTTGTTTCAGGTTTTCCCTTTTTTTCACAAACGCCGCCATCACCTTGCCTTGCAGGTCCTGCTCCACCACAAAAGATCTCCTGCAAATGCACAGAAATCAAGAATCAGAAAAGCGCTGTAATAGTTGTTTGAAATTACAATAATTAATATAAACTACAATTTAAGATTTAAAAAATGTGTATATAGTAGGGGTGTAACGGTACACAAATATGACGGTTCGGTAATGCATTAGTCTGGGACTAGTCTTGACCAGCTTTGTCTGTGAAACCGGGGGATAGCGTCTTTACACCTTTTGCTTATATATTGCTTACTTTACACCTTAGTTTTAATACAACATTATTAACTCCATAAACAATACCACTGTATGAAAATCTTCTTCTTCTTCTTGGTGTTTAATGGCGGATGGTATACAACTTTTAGGTGCATTACCGCCACCTACTGATTAGGAGTGGATCAGGACCGTACTCCACTAAATTCTATTATATAATCCCGTGTCCTTTATGTTGTATGTGCATATTGAGATTTGTCCAATAGGGGGCGGTCACGTATTGTGTATGGGTTGGTGCACTATTTACAGACCGTGAAGAAGCTCATTGGGTGAGCATCATTGCCATGCTGGTGTGTATGTCTAAACGCTGCGATGGGTCCTCAATAAAGTGACCATCGAGAGCTTTTGGCTCCTCTGTGTTTCCTTTCTCCCAGTATCTCAAGATACTAAATATGGCGACGAGGATAAACAAGGAGATGAAGATAAACCAAGAGAAATAAGGATGAAGCAGCGGTTTCAAAGAAGCAAGGGAGAAACAGGACGCTGAAGCGGCTGAGCTGATTGAAACAAGTTGCTACCACGTGGAATGATTGATTGAAGAAACAATGGCTGGAATGGTCGGATCCGTGACACCATTTGATAGTAAGTCACAATCATGGGAAGAGTATTGTGAAATATTGAATAATTTCTTCGTGGCAAATGATGTTGAAAGCACAGAGAAGAAACAAGCCATATTGTTAAGTTGTGTTGGAGCGCAGATGTACACATTGATGAGGAATTTGTTGAGTCCAGACAAACCAGGTGCAAAGAGTTCTGAAGAATTGGTTAGTTTACTGAAAAACCACTTCAATCCAAAGCCAAGTGAAATAGTTCAGAGGTGGAAGTTTAATTCAAGAAACAGACACCATGATGAAAGCATAGTAGAGTATGTGGCTGAATTAAGAAAACTTGCACAAGACTGTAATTTCAGAGACACACTTACAGTTATGCTGAGAGACAGATTAGTGTGTGGTGTTAATGATGACAGCATACAACGGAGATTACTGGCTGAGGATGGATTAACGTTTGAAACTGCACTGAAGAAAGCTCAGGCTATTGAAACTGCAAATAAGGATATGGCAGATTTGCACAGAGAGAAAGGAAATCGCGTGAGTACTACTGTTTTCAAGATGGACTCTGAAGAAATAAGTAATTTAAAGGGTGCAGGAATGTGTTATCGACGTGGTGGAACTAACCATATGTCGAAAGACTAAGTTTGCCAAAGAAAAATGTTACGTGTGTGGCAAAATTGGACAT